ACAGGTGAATGCAGTCTTCACAGTAAATACGAGAAAAACTATTGATATCCCAGCTTTATATTCCAACAATAAAATAGTTACCAGTGGTTCTGTGGATCGTACTTGTCATTAGTTACCAAATTGGAAGATGCTTGTTCTGGTTTTTGCAGCTCTGTGGGGTTAGGAGAGGCCCTGAGTGTCCCAGTTAAACCACTACATCCATTTAAGCTGCCTGCGAGTGCCAGGCCGAGGCCTGGGAGCTCTTTGCAGGGGTTGTGCTCTGCAGGGGGAGTGCCAGGTGTGCATGTGCTGTGTTCTCCAAGCCAATACTGCAGCTCAGCCACCTGCAGAACAGGGAACTGACCTTCTGGGTTCTTACTCACAACTGTCCATAAGCTCTGAAGTACCTCAACATGAACTCAGTAGATCTATAGTAGCAACAGCCAGTTTTCAGTGACTTCTTTTATCTTAGAAGTGAACATGATGTGAAGTAAACTTTTGCTAAGCCTCCTCATTCCCTTAGTGCTCATTTAACTCTGTAAGTCTCCCATAAACATCTGCAGCTTTGCCCTCCAGTTATGTACTCACCTGTGCTTTAAATGAGAAAACTGTTCAGTATCAGCCTGGTTGGTAGTTGCTGTATGATGTAACTACAGGTATCTCAATTACTATGTAATACTCTGTTTCCAGTAATGCAAACGCTTGTAATTACTTGAATAAGTTTTATTTAAACTATGAATACTTTTTTTACACTTAAGGAATATTTAAATGGAAACCTGATTGCATTTTCTGCTATATCTTAGTGTAAGTCAAGGCCCATGTACAAAATCCAAAGCTGTCTTATCCCTCCTGAATTGGTTATTTTTCTACATTCGGGATGTAACTTCTTGTTACAAACTTCTGCATTGTTGAATATTTTCTATCCTTTTATAGTCCGTTTCCTTTCCATCTCAGTGCTACTCTTGGGTCTGATTTGTATCTAATGTAATCTGCATTATTTACTGTCCTAAACTAGAGCCTGGGCAGACTCATGAAATAGCAGGAAACTGTCTTTGTCTTTGAAGCACTACAGTACTTTCTTTTTGTGTCTGTTTGAATAATTGTGCCAGGAAATGCATCTTACACAGCCACTCTGGATAAGCAATATATTGTACTGTAAATATAGCAGTTGCTGTCACAACCTGGAGTTAAAATGTCTGGATGGTAATTAGTGCCTGTCTAATATACCTTGGAAAAGAGCATAGGCCTTCCTCCTATGGTGCTGTTACAAAAATCTATTACCTGTTTTGATTCTGGGAAGTTGTGAAATATGGTGGACAAAATGTTGCTATGTTACATTGAGATCCAAACAGTGGGTTTTGGTTTCTCTGTAAAGGATGTCCCTAAAACTCATGGGGTTTGGCTTTCAGTGTAATTGTAAATAGGTGAAACTGTCTGTGTGTTTGTGTCTGAATTCCATGTGGTGATCCTGGACTGAGAGGGAGGGAGAGGGGATGCAATCAGGTGCCACTAGTTTTTGCTGACTGAAACCCACTGTAAATTAGTGAATGGTGTGAATTGCAGCCTGGCAGAGGTGTTGGAAATGAATGAAAACTATTGGGATTGGCATCGGCCTCACGGGAATGACTGAATAAATGCAATAAAAGGCTCATAGTCAACACTATTACTTTGTTCATCACTTATTACAGATTTTTTGTTAAAAATTTGAGTACATGAATGATGTAATTTGTAAAATGATGCTGTAGTGGAGACCTTGCTACAACACTATTAAAAATCTTCCCTCTTTGTGCAATGAGGTTTGTAGAATAGTGAGATTATTTCGTATGTCGAATCTTCCTGATGGTGGGAATGCTGGGGTGATGTATCTCACTGTGAGCTGGTACTTGGCTATTTGCATAACATGGCAGTTCTGTATATTCTTTTGGCTAACTGTAAATATAAATGTTTCATAATAGCTTAGTTGAATTTTTGAGGTACAGCTGTTTGTGTGAGATTAGAAAAGTTTATTTCTAAGAACTTGTAAAAAAAAAAAAGTATTTTCAATAAAATTCCCTACCTCACCTCTACTGTGCAGAAATGATCCCATTTTCCTACGTTTAATTTTTCCAACTTCATTAGTAAACACTAAGATCCCCTTTCAGTTATTGGCAAAACATTGCTAGTTGTCATCAAATCACTCAAATAATGGAATGCTGGAAAGTCTGAAGTCTTACTTGTTCCCTTTATTTCCATTACACTGATCAGGTATTTGGTACCTGAAAAGCAAATTCTAGATATTTTATGCTACCTTAAGCTTCTCTTTCTCTGTACTTAGGGGGCAGAGCCTGTGCATGGTGGTAACTGTGTGATGGTGGAGGGCTTTGTCAGTGTTATTTCTCTTTTTAGCAGTGAGGGGGTGGGTGTCAGTGCTACACTGTACATTTCTTTCTTAGACCTTAGGGGAAGGGCTCCCAGTCCTTGTTTTGCAGGGAAGGTGATTGGGCACCTACTTTGCTTTCTTTAATTTGATGTAAATGCACATAAACATAATCAGTTCTAAAAATTTGTCTTGCTCCTTGGACGTTATGCCAGACTGAACTAGCTAGTTAATCCCTCCTTTTTCTGAAAAGCTTAACTCTGCACCTTAAAGAGATAATTGGTGCCAGGAGTCTTCTCTCCCATTGCTACTGGCAGTGACTGTTTCTCTGGCTCCTGAAATGGATATAACAAATCCAAACTAAATTTATAACTTGATACTCAGTGCTTGGGTTTGATGCCCCTATATTCCTGCACTTGTAACAGCAGCATTGGTATTGCCACAGTTCAGACATTGTGTTCTTTGACAACACCTCTAAAATTCCTCAGCTGTCCCGTGGTGCAGGTCCCTGTGGGAAGGGAAAAATAGGGAAGGGAAGGCACTGGAGTGTCCTGGGGGCCCTTCCTTGGGAGAACTCTGGTTCTTTGCCTGTGTGCAAGAACCAGAGGTTTGATAGGAGCTGTGTAAAAATTCCCAGGGGGCTTTGTGGAACAGCATTAATTTGAACCCAAATAATCTCAAGCGACTCTTGTGTTTCCGGGGAGCAGGCTCTGCTTCCTTGGGAAGGCAGGTAGATGTGTGCATTTTTAGATGCAGACTTTTATATGCCACTGCTGGTAGCAGTTCCAAGTGCAGTGTAACACAGCTGGCTCTGCCTGCCTGTGGCCCCGCCTGCCACGGCTCCCGTCACGGTGTGCGAGAAACACCGGCTGCCCCTGCAGCCACACCGGGACAGGGCTGAGGTTTAGGCTCCAAATCTTGAGGAAACCTGCAGCCACAGCAAGTGCTTGGCAGGCTGCATGCACCGTAATGGGTCCTTGCTGGTTTCAGAAAGGAAGGCTGTAGCCTTTAAACCAGCAAAGCTTGCCCTGCTCCTACACTGTAAATAATGAAGCAAAGTGCGACCCTGCTCACTGAGTAGTTCAGGCTCATGAAAAAATCCCGGTTTTCAGGATTTCACACCCTTTCCCCTTGCATTGGATACCTGGATTTTGGTGTGGAAATCCCTGATCTCAAGTAAGAAATATGCAAAATTAGACTTGTTTCTAGGCTGCTCCACCAGACCGGCTCAGCCAAGCACCCCAGATTAACACAGGGCTTGGTTTGGCTGTGCTGGGCCCTGAGCTCTGCTGCAAGCACAGCTCTGATTAAACTGAAATGCCTTTGTTGCAAGTGCTGGCCTTAAACTGACACCTCGTTCTCAAAGTCTGGTTAAGCAAAAGCAAAACTGTGCTTTCACATTTTGATTAAAAACTCAGGTTCAAGTTTTACAAACCTCTAATGACTATTTTCAGTGTAATTAACTGGATTTAGCATGACAAATTGCCAATAACTGGTAACCTTAATACTGGAGAACTCTAATAAGAGATGTTAGTTTTGCTTGTAAGATGTGCATAAGAAGGGGGGTTTGTAATGCTGACCTTTTTTTAATTAATTATATATTCTAGAGCATTCCCATTCTTTCCTTGCTTATGACTCATTTCAGTTTCATTCCATGCTAAATAAACCCTCATATTTACTTTGCAGCTTTGTTGAAGACTCTACCTTAATCTGAGAAGAACTAGTACCCATCATGGAATTATGTACATCCCACATGGCCAGGCTCCTGCCTTTATTCTGCAAGGTATTTTAACGAGAAGATACTTTAACATGATGTTGCCATGGATGTCTGGCATGAAGCACCAATCAATATTCCTCAAAAAAGGACTGTTAACTGCTTGAACTTTGAAGATTACTGTGATGTTAGGATTTCTCTTATACTGGCATAATGTTCTGTCATTGTTATGTGACATTATACCTACAGAAAGTATTAATAAAGAATTTTGCTAGAAGTACTGATTTCTCTTTGCTTTTATAAAGTTTAGATTTAACTCCCTGAAGTTGGGAGACCGACTACTGGAATAAAATAAAGTTTGAAAGCTATTTAAGTAACTAAGATGTTTAGCACTGAAGAAAGTTGCTTTTCATAATAATGTTCACATTACATCAGAGCTGACACTGGAGTCAGTGTCTCGGATTCTTGAGAGCTCAGCTCTGAGCAGGTGTAGGGCTGAGTTTTACTGCCTCTCTTTCTGGAGCCTGGGTGCTCACAAAAGCTAAAGATTTACCCCATTTTGATAGGAAGAAGCCTTACCAACAAAAGAACATTCTAAATACTAACACCTGCCTTTTTTACTTTATTAATACTTAACAATGCTTTATAGATTTTATTTAATTTTGTTCAGTTAGTAGTAGCTAGTTCTGCTAAGTGTGAAGACCACTGGAGTGCAGAGGGGCTCTGTTCTGTCATCCAGTCACAGACAATGCTCACCCCAGTGGTCAGAGAAACACTTCAGGTTTTCAGGGAGTGTCAGCACCCCATGGGGATGGTAAGGAAGACAGAGCCAGACTCTGCAGTGCTAGCAGTGACAGGACAAGGGACAACAGGACAGCTTGACCTATAAGAGAGTCTTCAAACATAAAATCACTTTTACCATGAGGGTGTTAAAGACTGGAGCATGTTGCCTGGAGTGGCTGTGGAGTCTCCATCCATAGTCAGACTCAGTCAATGGGACAAGGGAACTGCAACCTGCTGCAGTCAGCCCTGCTCTGAGCTGTGGGGCTGGACCAGAACATCTCCAGAGCCCCTTCCAACCCCAACCTTCTGGGACCTGAAAGTGCCCATAAAATGCACTATTTCATTTAAAACAGGCAGTCCCATGGCTTAGATCATTATCTCCTGCAATTATCACCACAGTGTCTTGTGGAGATACAGGGCTGATCTATGTACATAAAAAACTTATTCACCAGCTAAAATTTGAAGTGCCCACCCAGTGAAACAAAAGGGCCCACCTGACTGAACAAAAGCCTCAGTACATTTTATGCCAGTAGATAGACGGTCTGAGGTTCCTGTGGGATCCTCACACTCATTACCCATCTCCACGTTGCAGAGCTCTCTGCCCATAGCTTGTTCCATAGGATTTTACAGACACTCCAGCTTACCTGGCCTGTTGCATGCTACTGATGGTGACTTTATTTTCCTTTCAAGTCTCTCCAAATACAACACAACGTGGCCTTGTGTTCACAGTGAAGGACAGGCATTGCAGAACAGGTACTCTTTAATCACTGCTGCCTAATAACAGACTCCTTGAACACAACTGCTCCTCAGTATTTCTGCTGTCACATTCAAGTCCAGTTCCTTCTGGTCTTTTTTCCACAAATGAAAATCTTTTCTATGGAAAATACATGCTGATTTGGCAAGAGTTTTGAAAAATTCACTGTCCTCCTTTCACAAAGGGATGGTCCAGCAACTGCAGAGCAGAAGGCCGTTCATGCTGATCTCTGCATTGAAGGTTCACAAATCAGTATATAAAATGAATATGTATGCCTGTGATGTAAAACCTAATTTAAAAACCTGTAAACACCTAACTGCAAAATTAGCCTTTATTATTATTATTATTATTTATCCATTCACTACTCATTTTTAGGGTTTTTCGCGAAAGTTGATAGAAAGGAAGGGAGGCTTGAAGGGAAAAGACTGTGGGAATTTATGAATTATAAAACTAAAATATTTTATTATTAAAGAAATCATTACTTATTCCCCTAAATTCCTTGCAAATCTTTGAATAATTCTGCTGACTTGGCTATTTCAGGTGCACCAACAACGTATTTAAGAAAGGTGATAATTATCTGTTTGAGCCTCTGTCAATCAGGTTGTCCTGTCATCTCCAATCAACATCATGCATTTTAAGAAGCCCATGGCTTTGTTTAAAACAAAACAAACACCACAGAAATAATTCTTATAATGTGTGAATGCTACTGGTTTGGGGTTTTCAGAGAGAACTTTATGTTTCTAGTAAGTATTATGTTTCAAGTAAGTATGTGTTTCCTGGACTGGCAGTGATAATAATAGATTTTTCCACTGCAGAAAACAAGAATTAAGTGAAAGCTCTTCCATTTACAATACTGTCCTTAAAACAACTTGTATGACATAGACCAAAGTGAAACAATACTGGAACAGCAAAACACAGCAAAGAAATTTATCAAATGTTTTGTCCAAAACTCAATGGTGCCATGTTGCATGAAAATCACAGTGAAAGTAAATGATGAGTATAAGGCCTACAAAAAGAGAATCTGTGAGGGCTTTTTTATACCACTATGAAGAGTAAAGCTCTTTTATATATACTTTTATCTAAAAAGTATATCTAAAAGTACATTTCCTGAAATGCTGAAAAGCCTATGCATTTACAATAAAATCATATGTACTGCAGCCGAAGTTCCCATGAGCTATCTCCAGAATACAAAGTACCTGTGTTTTCCTTTTCATTCTCCAGTTGAGAGCCTCCATACAACCACCTGCCCTTTCATCCCCAGTTCAGAGCCCCCATACCTGGTTAAGCAGGCGTGCACAAACTCCACGGCAGCGCTGGAGAAGCGATCGGGCAGGGCCGGCATCAGCCCCCTGTGGGCCCCGATGTAGAACATGGCTGCCACCCTGTCCATGGAAGCCAGAGGGGGTTTGCCTGTTGCCATCTCGAACACGGTGCAGCCCACGCTCCAGATGTCTGATTTCCTGCCGTAGCCAG